TTTCACATAATCAAAGTTGAATTATACTACAACACATTGAGGAGGATCCAGGACTTAGGAGTTTACACAACTGATAGTTTGACTTAGATTATTTCACATAATCAAAGTTGAATTATAATACAACACAGTGAAGAGGATCCAGGAGATAGCCATTTACCGAGCCGATAGTTGACTTGATGATTTCACATTATCAAAGCTGAATTATACTACAATACAGTGAAGAGGATCCAGGAGATTTACGTTTACGGAGCGATAGTTGACTTAGATGATTTCACATCATCAAATTTGAATCATACTACACTACATAGTGGAGGATCCAGGAGATTACTATTTCAGGTTCAAGTTACAAGTACAATACAAGACGTACAAGTATTACAACATATATGAACTTTTAATATTGGAGATACAACAGTGGTATATAGTGATCATCTACTTTAGTTTATATGGACTCTGGATATTGTGTTCTTAGTGATTATTATTAGCTTATATGGACTTTTGAGTTGTGAGTTTTGAGAGAGATAATAATATCGTAGCATTTTAACCTTCATACTTGACATTTAATGTACATCTTTATTTGGGCTTATAAACGCCACAATATACTGTTTTATATTTATATTTAATTGTATATGTCTGTTTAATTCTTTAGGGACAATCGCACATTTAACGTGTGCCGTGTAACTCACCAAGTAAACACCGTTTACTAAACAGTGGGTCTATTATAAGTCACGCTACCACATATCCACAAAAATAGGCCAAACTGTTACAATATCGACCTGAGAAATGTGTGACCCCATAGTGGTGGTCCATATGGACCGGTGTAGAATATATTCTGGACCGGTAATTTTTCCCCGGGAAATTAGATATCGTTCAGTGCGACTTAGAAATGACGTTATTGTACTATTAACATCCTGGTTGCTGAAGTGAGGAATTCTCGCTCAATTATTTGAGCCCTTGGTTGTATACGAGGGTTGTCCCAGAAGTAATGCACTATATGCTCTAACTTGCTTCAATATTCTTCAATTAAGCTGAAATTTTGTGTATATAACAATTGAAGTCTTGTTTTTTATATCCTTAAGTTTTAGCATCAAACATTAATATTAAGTCTTAATATGGTTGCTATAGCAACATGGGGGTAGGGGTGGGCGGGGCAGGTACCAATTTTTCTAATTATGAAAAGATCCAAAGTGTTATTTTATTAATATTTCTTTCTTTTAAATGATCAAAATGTTTAGGAAATTGTTAAATTTATTCAGCATGATGTTAAACAAGTACAAATAATGACATTTAGCACTGTTATGTCATATTACGACAGTTTAATAGTCACAAATTCAAATACAGTCAAAGTAAAAAATTGCAAAAATGGCTGAAATTCTCACCTGATAACAGAAGGCCTTGCGTTTGTTGGCCTAATTTCATACTTCACTTGGACTTACAGCCACGCAAAACTTATGCTACCATGAAGAAAGTATATAAGGAGTATATACCAGATAGAACTACAATTATGAGGTGGCAGAAGAGATTTAAAAGAGATGACTTGACCCTGGATGACAACTCCAAACATGGGAGGCAAAAACTCTACAAGTCACAGTGGAAGAAATTGCCAAGAGTGTTTGACCTGACAGGCATCAAAAGTACATAACATACAAAGGGCAATATTTTGAGAAAATGTGAAATGGGACACTGTGCAATATACATTCATTAAATCTAGGATGTGCTCGTTGTAATTTAGTATCTTAAAATGTATTTTTGGGCATACCTCTTATCGCTACACAAAATGGTATTTGTTGATTAATAATTTCATATTTTCAATTTTTTATTCCTTTTGACGTGACTGTATAACCTGCCCCGCCCTATCCAAACTCACCAACTTGATTTTATTATAACATCAATATAGTTTTATCAGTCAACATGAAAATTTGTAGAATAATCAAAATGTCTCTAAGGAACATTTACTGAAAATTTCATGGAAAAATATCAATTATTGATTAAGTTAGAGCATATAGTGCATTACTTCTGGGGGCAACCCTCGTATACTGGGGACTGATACATGTCTATAACCAGGTGGGGACCAGTGAATTTAGAGGTATAGCCACTCTAAGCATATAATTGTCAACATTGCTCTTAATTCAAACCCTCAACCTCAATATATTGCTTCATTATAACTCATCCAGATGTTATTTTTTTAGATATTGGAATCCTGAGTTTCATAGAAATTGTTTACAGATACCAAATGATGACAAACTATAGGAATATCCTATGGTTTTGAAAAATATCATTTATATCCATGAGTGCATATTCATATCTTCATGGGCGAGTGCAGAAGTGATATTCCATGGTTTCAAAAGTTGCTTCGATGGTTTTGGGGATTTTTTGCTTAAATATATCTTGGTCCACATATCAAATATTTATATCTTCAAGTAATATTCTATCTATATCCTTGCAACCATGGGATAAATCGTCATAATGTGTCATATATGACTGAAACAACACAATGTATCCATGGATTATAACAGTATTATATTTACTATTTCAAAAATAAAATATACAAATCAAACCATAAAATTCCTTTTTACATGATTATTCTATTTAGTGTTATTTGGTTTAACATTCCTCAGCTTACTGCAGTTATCAGAATATTGCATATTCAGCAAATTAGTTTGGAGGTAGTCCGTTAAAGTATAACCAACTATCTAAAAAACATAAGGTATAATAGTTTCTTATATCTCAAGTTCTTTAAGGTTGATAACCTTACGCAATGGTAGGGCATATGGAATTCAGAGACCTTTGATAGACACCCACCTTCTCGTTGAAAAATACATATATTTCAAAATCGTTCTTTTAAACTCGTGAAAAATAGTAAATGAATGATAAGACATATTTTCAAATTCAATATGGAGCCTTTAACATGTTCAACAATGTGTATGAAATTCCTCAAGTTTCTTATCTTAAAAATTCTGGTCTACCAATACAAGTCATCTGAACTTCAATACTGAAACCAAATCAACTGGATAGCTACAAGCATGTATAAAAATACATCTTTCTGATATGCCAAAAATCTTGTATTTCAACAATCCAACTCTAATTTCCTAACCACATGTCCATGCTAAACAAGTAATAATAATTAGTTATTCCATCTATATCCTCTAGTAGATACCAACTCAAATTGACTGCAATATTCACCCTACTGGACCCATCTTTAATTTGGCGATTTTTTGGATATTGGACATATTGGCGTCTATTTAATTTGGCGGTTGTTCAAGGGCCCGACACCCTCACGTCTAGTCAAATTCAAGTTAGTCATTGTCAGTGTTGTCGAATATTTCTAAATCTAAATGGACCTGGCCATCTTGGTATCTCATAACCAGAGGTGCATGGAATGAAAAACATGTCAAATTCCCAGGGATTTTGGTGAGTTTTTTTAATTCAATTTTTGGGATTTGCCAAATTAAAACACTCGCCAAATTAAAGACAAGTATATTTCTATTTCACCCCCATTCATTCTCTCAACTACTGAGAACAGGTCAACTATACCAGTGCTATATTTATATGATGCCTATATTTTATTGCTACAGAAACAAACAATGACATACAAACATTATTTGTAAAGAATATACTTTCATAACTTGAATGCGTGAACAAACCTCACTTCAAAACGCAAAATTAGGTTATGAAATAATCCATTAAGTACTATCATTAAAGAATAGTAAAAGATGACTGAGAAGTAGGCTTTGGCAATTTTAGTAACATAAAAGTAATACAAAATAAATAAATATTTTTTACATTTTTTGTGTGAGTCTATTGTTTTTGTCATCTTTGTTTTGTTTATTTTATCCTGTTTACACAGTAAATAATAATATCATTATTATGCCTTCTACATTTTAATTATATGTCAAAGCAAATGAGTTTGGCAAGTGATCTACATTATATGTAATCCATAACACTGGAATTCTAAAAAATAATTTCATATTTCATTATTTAGTAACGACTACTTTCAAGAAAAGAATATGTGGTATCATAACATCCCTGACACAAACGTCAATTCAGTTAAGTGATCCACATGTTTTTTCTTATAACTTCACAAACATAGAAGGTACACAAACATTTAGGTTGAATTCACAATAAATATTCATGATTATAAATATTTCATTTTGCAATTCATTGACTGATTTCGTAAATATCTCTACGTGCTAACATTAATAGAACAGATCAAATGTGTGCAAAGTGAATGTTTTATGGTATTTAAAATCATCCAAATGTATGAATATAGACTTATCGGAGTCAATCTTAGCCATTATTATTCAGTTGCAAAGAATATCATTGTGAAGAACAATCAATTACGACCCAATCATAAGTTATGATGGTATCTTGAAGACATACATCCATGGGATAAATTTTGTCCTCCATATGCAGGTATCTAGAACCCATCCACAAGTGGATGTTGTTCTGCCTCTTGCATTTGGAGAATGAGAAGCACACATATATTACTCCACTGTTTGCATAATGCATAAAGACACATACATATTCATACCATACATGCCATAGGTGAAATGCTTTTACATGCAGGTAACAAAGCATTTCTGGTTTTCCTTGATAATGACCATGTAATACTACTACTGTACTATGAATATACATAATCTTTAACTAATGACTAAATCTTGATTTAGGGAGAATCAAAGACAGGGTTACATTTGATGACTTCTAATTTTTAGAATTGTGAGCTTAAACTTGTTGTTTTAGTGGTAGATTAATTGAAAATATGCTGTTTAATAATAATTTAATCCTCTCTGAAAGATTCTTCCTTTTAACCAAGAAACAGTATGTAACACCCTTCGTTTTTTAATATTGATTTAATCTTTGTTGTATGCTGAGATGAGGCACAATATAAAACTTAATGATGTTATGCGACATGAAGTCAGCAGTGTCTGCATATAATGACAACAATTGCCTAGTAACAGTCTTCATTGCCTAGCAACAACAATCATTGTCTAGCAACAACCATCATTGGCTAGCAACAACCATCATTGGCTAGCAACAACCCCCATTGCCACCCAGGGCATAAAACAACAATAAATCAGCAATGGGTTTAAAATTAAGCCTAAGTTTCACTTAAGTTACAATTTAGGGTCATCTTTGACTTCTGTTACAGCCTCGTGAATTGCGTTTGCAACATAGTCCAGGTTTTTAGTGGTGAGTGCACACATGTTGATTCTGCCACTCTTCAGTAGGAAAATATGGTATTGTTTCACCAAGAAATCAACCTGGCGTGCTGAAAAGATATGGAAATTCTGTTATTAACTTCTTCTTAACATATTATACAATTAATTGGTAAAAAGTTTCACCACAGCACATATAGCTTATGCAATGCCATGGATGAAAAATCATTAAAAATAAACTGACATCAAAATTTGTGCATCAAAATCCATTTCATGAAAATGCTTTTGCCAAAATCCTGACTTTTAAATATTTTCAAATGATTTCTAAAGTATCATTCTATTACAGATTTGTTGGCAAAATGTAATAACATAATATTCTCAAACTTCCAAGGACTGCATATATTAAGAGCCTCATCATTATTACTTAGCAGTTATGTCCCTATCATTGAATATATGCCTAAGGTCTGTCACCAATATAGCCCGAGCTTGCGGGGGTTATATTACGACAGACCGAAGGCATATATTCAATGATACGGACATAACTGTTGTATTACATACTTTTATATCATGGCTACATTATATCAATGACGCCACGTGTCTGTGTGCGAGTGAAATTAGGAAGAAATGAAACATGACGTACCGATGACGTCATAAGATTGTCAGGGTAAAAGGTTTGGCGGCTATACAGGAATATATAACCGACCTTCAGCTCCATTGACTCCAATACAAATGCTTCGCTGGGTATGTAATACACAATTTTAGAGACTTACGATTGAGGCCTGTATAGCTGAACATTCCTATCTGCTTCACTATATGATCCCAGTTGCCTGGTGTCCCTAAGGCCTTCAACTTCTCATGGAGTCTCTGCCTCATCAACAGGATCCTTTCTGCCATTGTCTTCACATCTCTTGACCTACAAAATACACACACATCCTTATTATGTAACAAGCATTACAAAGCATTAAAATGCTGCCACCTGCCATTTGTTACAGACACTGACTGCCGGATACCAAATACCAACAATTGAATAACAAGCCTTATTTTAACAAATAAAGTACATATGCACATAGAACTATGTTACAACTATTAATCATTTTGTCTTTTCAATCTTAACTTCCTGTCCATAATCACTATTTGTAATCTATGAATTCAAGTCATTTAAAATATTCTACATAGAGTACACTTGAAGGTAAATCATACTCAGTGAGTACAAAAGGATTACTGAAGGGTAATCGCATAAATCCTCAGTCTATTCTTGCAAAAACACACTGATTCACTTTTGAGCTAAAAATCGGAATATTGATGTGATGAAGACTCGAGACCTTCTGTTTAAAGATTTTGTCTTTTTTGAAAATTTCCCCTTGTATAACCCTTTGGAAGCTTCATGTTTCTAATCCACGATACTATAACCACAACACCTACCATTCTTCATAGAATGATGGATTATTCAATACAGTAGATACAATTCTGCATCCATGGTTGGGTGAATTAGACCAGGTCTGTCGTATAATAGTCTTAATCTGTGACTTCACTTTCATACAAACATCAGAGCTGCTGCTTACAAATGTTAAGTTACCGGTGCGCTCATCTGCAAACAAACATGGCTACACATAAGGCAAACGAACATGATTTCACATAAACATACATTGGAACTCTACATAAAATGGTATCATTTCTAGCAAAGAAAATTAATATGCAACATTTTACCAGACAAATATTCAAATTATATAGTCAAATTCACATTTTGTTCATCTGTCCAATATGATATGAGTAGAGGTGCTACCTTATTGTCAATCTAATTGCATATATTAAACAAAATCAACTTACTGTAAAGGCCAAAGTTCTTGGAGTAAGATTGTGCGCATAATAGCTCAAATCCCTGCTCAACAAAGTATCTGACTGGCCAGGCATCAGCCTCTAAATTTCCTGTGGCAAAACCTTGATAGGCACAGTCAAAGAAAGGAAATAAGTGCTTTTCCTAAAACAAATAGAAGTAACATACAAAATATTTTGATAAATCACAAACGACATCAAAATATAGAGGATATATTATATGAGAAACTGCATGGAAAACTAAAAAAAAATTGTTTTATCTCATTTTGTAAGTTTATATTTCTTTTAATTCTGCAGATTCATACTTAACACAAGAAGTGACATTATATGTTTTCATCAATGATTCTAAAAAGCGTTACAGTAATTGTCAATCTTCATGTTTTGTGATTCTTACCTTAATAACTTCAGCAAGTTTTGCCCATTGTTCCTTGGATGGGTCAACACCTGTTGGATTGTGGGCGCATGTATGAAGTAGGACAACCGCTCCAGATGGTGCAGCCTACATGAAGTATGTACAAAGGAGATATAACAAGGGTATTTCATACAAAATGAGTTAATGCAGTCTAGCAGGTAAAAATATAAGATTTTTGCAATTTTTTCCTGTTCTATTGATACCAAAATAAAAAACTAGTATTAGTCCATGTGGTATCTGTCAAAAGAAACTATGAATCAAACATATTTTATCTAGGAATTGGACAGAAATATTTCTAATACATAATTAGCTTTTTCAGCTTGGAAAAGGAATTTCCCCATTAGACCTAATGTATTCACTGCCATTAATAAGGAATAAAGAATATTAAAATGAAAGGTCCTGACTCATTACATACCTTTAGATCATTGATGTATCCCTCAAAATTGAGTCCCCTCTTGTCATTATCCCAATATCTGTATTCCCTCACGTCATAGCCTATAGCCTTTGATATACCTTTGTGGTTGCCTGCAACAATACAACATTACACTATCATGAAACATCAATCGTAGACCTAGAGATAACATAACAATATCTGATCATAATAATATGGTTTCATAAGAAGATCAAATACTGTATGCCCAGTATTTTTCGCATGCAATTTAGTTTTGTGCTTTTCGCTAGTGTTGTAAAATCGCAAAAATTTATCATCGCGAAATTGCAGATTAAATCCCCGGGAATTTGTTATTACCCGGGGCCCTGATGCGTTTCGATTTGTGTAAAACGTTTCGTCTAGTGTTATTGGGCGATAATTGGGATATCCATATGCGCATGCGTGTAAATATTTTGAACCAATTAAATTGCTTGATTTAATGTGCAAAGACCGAACCTCAAAATCGAACATCGCGCAGATTGCCACTAGTATACAATTTCTTGGCTTAATACCAAAAAATGACGATGCAATAGAGGTTCATATGCAGCTTGCCGATGACAAAGATCCTAGTAATTGTAAATCTCATCTAAATATGACATCAGGTAAGTGCAATTACTGTACATCTAACTTAGTTTACATACATGTAGCTCATGAATTCCGAGAATAATGAAATTTAATAGCCGTGAAATTGTGTTTTCAAATAACTTCCGTTCAAGATGATTTTGAGAAAAAATTGGTCAATTTGAAGCAAGTTGAAAAAGACCTTTTGACCTTTTTTGACCTTGAAAGGGTCACTGAAGGTCAAATCTTAAATACAAAGTAAGATTTGAGATGATTTTAGAAAAAACTGAAACTTGCCAAATCATAGTCCTTTCATTCAATTTAATGGGGGGGATATACCTTGAATTTTAGTGGAGTCTGTGTACATAGTATGTGTTTTTGAATACTTTGAAGCTTCTGAGCATTTCTAATTCTAAACCGACCAAAATCAGTACAATTTAGTTTGATCAGCATGTACATGTTCCTCATGTTTTTGTAAAGTGAATCTAGGGGGAAATCAACACCCGGGTTGTTGGTTAAGTCATCAAGTACAGTATAGTGAATGATACACGACATGCAATGGAATTAGTTTTATCTTTGTTAATATTGTACTGAACTAAATCTCATTTAGAGTGGTTGTGGAGAAATATGGTTAGTAAAATTTTTGGCCAGAGAAGTAAGAAACAGCCTGCCAAATATTGGCCTGAGAAAAAATGATATGGCCGGTTAAAATCTGGCTGGCCTGCCAAAATGTCTAGGTTAAAAAATCCTTATTTCATGCACTGTTTAAAATGATACGTAACTTACACAATCAACACACTTGGACATAAACATTCTCTTTTGTAATTTTTAAAGCTTGGCAGCCTTGCACAAAAAAAAAATTATTCATGTAGAACAATAATCTCATTACTTAAGATATAGCATAACCCAACAAATTTATCATTACATGATAACTGATCACCCAATCATGGAATAATCTATAAAAATATATACATGTTTTCCTGATTTAATCTTTGACAGTACATCTATTATAGATAGATTTGTGATATGAAAATGTGTATCTTGGTAATGGTTTCTTCAGTAGCTTATTAAAAGACACATTTATGCATGCTCATTTATTTAGTCAGACCAGATCAGATTTAATCACATAGCTACAGTTTCTGCTTATCTCATATAAATCTGAGACTTAATGATTTATTGTTCCAGTCAGTTCCATATTATTATAACTATGAAAGTTGATCACTATATAAATGGAGATTAGGATTAACGTACCCCAAGTTGGAGTAGAGACGTAGACAACTCTGCAGCCAATAATCTTGTAAAGGAAATCTAAGCCTACCCTGATACACCCTGTACCACCAATGCCTTGGCAGCCATCAACCTGTAAAAACATGATACACCATATTATTATGTATGTATTAATCTTAAAATAGTATTAAATGGTAAAGAATTTGATAGTATACCATAGTAAATGCCCCAATCCCCTTAAAACAGGTTAGGGGTAGCACATTATGTTCAATAATTCTTTTCCAATTTTCATAACATCACAAAGAAACTATGAATATGACTATCAAGATTCAAAAATATGTATTGATACTCGAGAGAGTATCTTGATCACCAATACTTATTGAGGGCTGTAAATTGTGTATTTATTTATTTAGATATACACTTTTTTAACAGTGGCACTCTTACATTAAGGTGCATCTAATCGAAAGTATCCACAATGCCATGTTGGTTAAAAACAGCACATTTTATCAAACTAAAATGAGTCTTAAAAAGAACTATAGTGTATAAAAACATTAACTTTTCAATTTTAAGCAGTTGTTAATAAATTCAACAATAGGGCCTTAAACTTTACCAATCTTAACATATGGTCATAAATGTCCTGAATTATCTTTTTTGTATTCTACATACCCTATTTTGTGCAATGGCAGGGCTGTCAGCTCCCAGAAGCAACCTAATACTGGCATTAACATAATCAGTAAGACCAGCTATTGGGAGATATTCATGGTTCAATGTAGGGTCTGCTGCCATCTGATTCTCTACAGTCTTCACCACAGGTAAAACCCATGGTTTACCTTCATCTGTACGGTATGCTGAAAATTTATGCAACGTGGTACATGTAAAAATCATGAATGTCAAAAGAAAGGTGAATTTTTCATGTTTAACTATAATCCCTAAATAAAAGAGGCACCAATCTGTCAACGAACATGGTGAAAACAAGCTGATATCTCCACAGCCAAGCAAAAGTACTATTAAACAAGTACCCCCATTACATGGAAATGACCTTTGGCTGAAATGAATGGTAAGTTTAATTTGTCCAAGAACTAATAGGCCGATAGCCCTGTACATATATATAGAATGGCCACTTTGAAAATTGTGGTTTATGATGACAGAATTTCTTTTATACTGAAATATACTGTATGTAAAAACAGCTGGAAGAAAAACATTTTTTCAAACACTATAGTTCATTTATTTTACCTTTATAAGTCAAGTGAAATGATTACATAGATTAAGGTGAAAAGGGACATTTATTACAATTTATTATTTTTTCATGGTTTTACACATCTAGATTGGCATGAAAACTTATTTGATGTCATTTACTTATTAGTTTGATGTCATAGTAACAAATATTGCTGAAACTCTTGACTGTGTAAATTAAAATCTAGGGTGATCAGAGATTACATGTTACCTGTATCGTAAAACTCGAAACTACTTGTAAAGTAGCTTTCTTTGAAGTCTTTTAGCAAGAGGAAGTGGTCAAATTAGTGCAGATTAAATGTCAATTGTATTAACATTTCAGTTGAGATGGTAAGTATATACATGTATTTTAGCTTTGGAATTGGATGCTTTTGCAAGGAAGATATTTCCTCAAATAATCAACATCTTTGATGATTTGAATGTTTTGAACATGTGAAGTTTGAACTCTACAGGATTCAAAGTTTTTTCAATACCATATACAGTAAAGATTGATTGTCCATTAGTCTCATCCTATTCAAAGTGTCCTTATGAATCATCCATTTCCTATAAACTGCAGACAAGCATGTAGGCCTAAAAGCCTACACATGTACTAGTTCAACGTCGTTAAACTCAATAACGGCGTTCTTTACTATTAGGAATTTTTTCTTGGGGCCATTATTGAGTTTAACCTCCATGCTATTCTTTACTTTGATGCAAGTTGTGGATCTATGGAAACCACTTTTCCTCGCTAATATGACACTGATACTTAACAATAATATAAAACCACATTTCATCAGGCGATTTCACATAATATTATTGTGTTAAATGTTCATTTTTAATCGTAAAATGAGTCTTATTCTTACCAATTTATGAGACGAATATTTCAACCGGCAATGTCTGTCTGTGCGTCGCCAAAGTAAACTTGGTCAGCGAAACGAAATTGTTCTTCAATATTGATATTTATTATAACCATCCAGTATGACACGAATCTTTGCTTTATTCAAACAGCGCGTGTATTCACCCAAGTTTACTCTATTGTTATTTATAAAAACTTTAAAAAGCAATACTCGCAACATTATTGATGCATTTGATTACTGGTAATTTCAGCTCAAAGAAATATAGATGTCATTGATTGTGCTAGATTGTGATTGTGTTGAATAATTGTGCCTAAATATTAAATTATGGTAATTGTTTATGGTTTTCTGCTTGCAAAAACGTACCTAGGAATACACTCAATTGTTTATAACTGGGATCATGTATTTTACTCAGCATACATGCTTTGTAACAATTGTTACATTTTAATAACTTCAATGTTTATCGCAAGCCTCCTACAGTATTACAATATTTTGTACTTATATATAGGATAACCGGGGTTCGTTTCGTTTTATGAACTTGTTTCGTTCAGTGTTGCTAACAGCGGTTTATTCCTGAAAGGATTTGCCATTTCGATGTTACCGGAACCAGAACAGAGTTTTCTAAACTAAGAAAAAGCCTTCTCCCAACATTTTCATAAATATACATCGATGAGGTTACAGGGGGATATGTGATGATTTGTATTTATTCATAAGTTATGTATGCATGCGTTGATCACATTATTTCTCTGACGATACCATCTTATTACGGTTTAATTCGTTCTGCATGTCGAAACCTGCTGAACGATTAAATGATCGCATCAAGGGCAAAATCATCATGGAAGTTAGACCTAGCCGGGGCCATAAGACATGTCAGATAAGAAACGAGGCCCAGGCTAGGTCTAATGTTGTTGGACTACTATTTTTTTCAAGGCCTGTCTGCGTCGCTAACATGCTAAATATAAGAGTTAGCTGACGTTTGGGAGTCTGACTTACCTTCTAAAGGTTAGAACCCGAATCTTAATGAAACCATATCACCTTTGTTCCGTCAACCATGGAGCATTTGCCACAACATCCAAGAGGTAAATCATGGATCGAGAAAATGAATGATTTCCTTGTAAGTTCCGGAAGTTTCAATACGAAAAATTACCGAACATCTGTGAAAACCGAATATTTGTTCGTTGTTTTCACGATTTACAGGTTCGTTTGTTCTTCAATGATTTGGTCTAAATTATAAAGCATCACCAACAGGTCTTTCTCTATTAATCGACTAATACAGCAGACGGCTCATATTTCTACGTAGCATTTCATTCAGACCAATAGTGGGAGTGTAGATCACGCAGTTTCGTTCGTTGCGTACTTCACTTGAAATTGGTAATTTTTAATATTGACTACTTCACTTAGCTTGGCGGATGTAGAACATTGCTTAATATTCTTTTAATTTTCACACCAGACATGCTTGGTTGACACGTCAACAAAGTAAAGTTCAAGGGTCAATGCGTTATTTCGTGATAACTACAACGCCTTCCCGGAAGTCAACATTGATGAAAAATGAAAAAGTCGGAAAAGCATTTACGCTAATTTCTATCAAATGCTATGTTTATGCATCATCATCGACGCAACAAAGGCACATGCTATCTATTGCAAGACTTACGCCTGCCACAACCGTCACCATGTTAATCAGTGTTTTTTAAGTAGCGCAAGGATCCTGCCATGACCGTGGTAGTGTTATCGTGTTAGCCTGGTATAACCGTGACAGGCTGGTATAACCGTGACAATGCTGTATTCTATTGCAAGGCCTGTCATGACCCTGGAAGTGTTATCGTGGAAGCCTGGCGTGACCGTAGCCTTTATTGTGGTTTATAAGCGAATGTGAATATTAATGTATATAGTAGTAATTTTGATTTTGACATGATTAAGGTAGTTAAACACCATGATCATAGTATTAAACTGTTTAATTGTAATGAGGATCACTTAAAATTGTTAAGGATATTCCTGGCATTAATGTCATATATATTTACTAGTCATTGCAATACATTATAACGGTCATAGTAGAACTAAGCCTAAATCTCTACATTACCACCCTCATACCTGGCCTTGCAATACTATATTACATTGTCATGGTCATACCAGGCTTTGCAATCCCATAATACATTGTCATGGTCATGCCAGGTTTTCAAATAGACATTGTCACGGTCAATTATAGCAATCATAAATTTCAACATTACCACTCTCACCCGAACTTGGAATATTATATCACATTGCCATGGCGGTCATACCAAGCCTTGCAATACTATATTACATTGCCATGGTCATGCCAGGCTTTGCAATACACATTGTCACGGTTATAGCAGTCCTAATCGTAAATTTCTACATTACCACTCCCATACCTGAACTTGCAATACTATATTACATTGTCACGGTCATGCCAGGCCTTGCAGTACTATATTACATTATTACGGTCATACCAAGCCTTGCAGAACTATATTATTACATTGTCACGGTCATGGCAGGCATTGCAATATAATACAGCATTGTCCGGTTATACCAGGCTTTCACGATAACATTACCACGGTCATGGCAGGATCCTTGCGCTACTTAAAAAACACTAAATAACATGGTGACGGTTACGCCAGGCGTAAGTCTTGCAACATATAGGGTCTCAACAAAGGTGATATAGTTTCATTAAGATTCGGGTTCTAACCTTTAGAAGGTAAGTCAGACTCCCAAACGTCAGCTAACTCTTATATTTAGCATGTTAGCGACGCAGACAGGCCTTGAAAAAAATAGTACACATGTACAAGATGGCTATGGCTCCGACCTCTGCTGACCTTGAGACAAATATCAGCTGTTCCAAGTCAATTTATGAATGAAAATACGTTTTGCCGATTCTGCTTTATTTGTTAATTAGTAGAGAAGTAATCTAAGGATTAATCAAGCCATTACTCTATAAATTTATTCAAGAAAAAACCCGATTTCAAACCAAAAGTGTCAATCTGTACTTGCGAAATATTTTGAAAAAATTTCTTATGCTGAAATTATCCATTGAGTTTAACATTAAATTTCTTATAAAAAACAGCTTGGATTGTTTAATTGTTTGATATTTACTTACCACCGACACCTAAGTTGACTTTATTAGGGTGTGGGTCATCATTGTATGCCTGTGTTAAAGCGAAAACCTCGATGGGAGGAGAGAGATCAACATCTGAGAAAAAGTTAGTCGCCATGTTGAAAGGTCAAAGGTAAAGGTCATGGGTTTCTAGGCACTGAACGAAATTGCCCCGGGAATTTATTGTCGACATATATATTTCTTTTCTAATGACGATTCATCATGGCATTGTAGTCGTTAGTCCACCCAGGTTCCCCCAAAGTAAGCTTTACTTGTAGTTGCCTAATGAGTTATTTAGTACTTAGATTACCACAAGGTTTCTTTACAATGAATCAGTTACCAGTGGGGGGGGTGTATAGAGATATTGTATATCGTATAAGAGGCTGAAAATTTATTGTATATTGTATAAGAGGGGGCAAAATTTATCGTATATGGTATAAGAGGTGTAAATAATATGGTATATGGTATTTTAGAAAATATGGTATATGGTATCTAGAATTAAAGAAGGCTAATTATGAAGAAATTGTACCCTAAAGTTCCCCCATTGTGCCAACTCTCTTACTGTAACCGTGTTGGAAAAACATGGAAAAGTAGTCTCTATAATTGTTTTCAAATTCCAGGTCAATCGATACTGTTAGTTTAGAGAAAATCCCTCTCAAACTAAGAGTTTTGTGCCCTTTTTTCATTCAAATTTTCACAGGAGGTGTTAAATACAGTCTCAAATAAGAATCACGCCCGGTGATCAGAAAATGAACGGTGGGGGGAGTAGATCTAGCTGATTTTCGGTAGAAAATTCAACAAATCTTGAAGATTTATTTTTTCAAGAGAAAGTTTACAATTGAATGGCTAAATGAATAGACGCAGTGGACGGGGGAATATGTTAGGTCTTTTTGGATTTTTTTAAACTGTGGAGTTCTTAAATAAAAGATCTATTAAAAAAGTGCAGCGTCGCCAACATGCAAATGCCAATGTTTTTGCTATAAATCAACCAACAGGGGTCTCCACAACCTGTAATAAATACTTGTAAGTGAAGTAATTATCACAAAACTATTGGGTTTTGTAAAACATGTTACCATACGTTATATAAAAAGTAATCGAAAATTATTAAAATTGAATGGAGGGGGGGGGAGTAATTTGTCTATAAAACATATGAAAACTTCTAATAAATCCATATGTCCCCATTTTTCACTTTTCAGAGTTGTTACATCAAGTTACTGAGTAAGTGAGTTCATTTTTCAAGTACACGAATTTGTGGAAATTTCTTCCACCTTAAAGACATTTTACTCCCCCCTCTGTTCACTCCCCCCCTCCGTTCAATTTTAATTATTTTCGATTATTTTTTATCTATCATTTGGAAAATTATTTTAAAAAACCGGCAATGAATTTTGTGATATAAAAATGTCGCTTATATATTTCTTACATGTCGTGCAGACCATTGTTGCTTGATTTATAGCAAAAACATTGGCATTTGCACGTTGGCGACGCTGCGCCTTTTTTAATAGACCTTTTATCTTAGAACTCCATCAGTTCAAAAAAAATCCAAGAAGACCTAACATATTTCCCTGTGCACTGCACCTATTCATGTAGCCATTCAATTGTAAACTTTTGCTTGAAAAAATAAATCTTCAACATTTGTTGAATTTACCGTAAATCAGCTACTCCCCCTCCGTTCATTTCATCAGATCACCGGGCGTGAGACTGCCAAATGTCATTGACCATCTTAACTTTGATGAAAAATATGGTCACTATGGCTACTCGTGTTTCGGGGTATGTGGGATAAATCATGAAAATATTTGAGTATAAAGTGTTCATACAGCGCATGTTTTAATACAAGCATCACAATGCTAATATAGCATAATATAGCAAAAGGTGTTTATTTGGTCTTCAAACTGTCATGTGTTGGATTTCGGCTATTTATTGGGGATTTGAACAGGTGCATATGTTAGGCCAATGCATTAACTCCAGATCAAGCACTCATAGAGGTAATAAAATAATTTGAAGTTTGAGACAGGGAAGGTTTTTCTGAAATGTTGTCCTTATTTTCAGCCCTTTCCACATTTTTTTATATTTTTTATATTTTTCATATGTCTTTTTCAATGTTTGATGCACCAATATGTTGCACTTTGAGACACAGTTAACCTCTAAAATATGATTTATTTGGGATAAATTGGAAAACAGTACATGTATTTCCCATGTTATTTTCCCATAGGGAAAACTCATGTGATCCATTGTTTTTAGCTTAATTTAGGTCATCCAAAATTGATATCTTTAAAACCCCTGCATGAATCATATTTTCATTTAAAGATCTTAACCATGTCTCAAAACGCAACAGAGTGATCGATGCAACAAACATTGAAAAACAGGTGTGGAAAGGGCTGGAAATCAGGACAACATTACAGAAAAACATGTTGATGGGGTGTTTGCACCTTCCCTGTCTTAAAGTCCAAATTATTTTATAATATCTATGACTGCTTGTCCTGGAGTTAATGCATTGGCCTAACATATGCACGTTAAATCCTCAGAAAATAGCCAAAATCCAATATATGACTGAAATCTGTTGCGATACCGTCCGTGGTCCTTTAAAAGAAAGTTATTTCTAGTTACATAGAGTAGTTTTCATTCTCATCAATACATCTTTGCCTTGAAATCATTTGTGAAACATGTGGTTTGACCTTCATGGAAATTTGCTTAATTTTGACACACCTTTGTTTAACTTATACTGTCTTTGAGGCTGCCTTATCTGAAACCCCGAAGTGTCTCATGTTTCAAATGTTTAAACAATCAAGTCTCATCTTGCCTTTATTTCAAACTCTAGTTTCCAGACTCGAGTCCAATCAAAAATGAATTATCTACATGGAAGTTTGTGAAGTCCTTTATTTCTGAAACTGCTTTAAAAACTTAATATTTTCCAGGTAACTGCTTTACAAAATTATTGTGCATTGTGAATCTTCATTATCTATCTGATAAATATTTTCCTCGGCAAACTTTATTTTCATAGAACACATGATGAATCTTTTATTCAACATTCTCAATTTTGCATCAATTATGTTTCAAGAATTTTTTTCCCTGGCTCACTATGAAGGACATTTAAATAAGTCATGGGAAAGTAGGTCATAAGAAAGAGGAGCACTGGGTTCCACCCATTCCAATGATGCAGGTTTTGTGCTAATTTTGAATATCTTTATGGTACTTTTACAGGTAATGGGCTAATGGCTTTAGCAAATTGCAGCAATGTCATAGTTAGTTTTTTTGGTCAAAGTAGGTTGCTAAATCACTAAAGAGAAGTCATGAATCTTATATCATAAATGTGTTTTAAATCAACTTGTTTACCTGAAAATAAAATGTGGTCACAGCTTTTCTGATGCTGATGTACCCGAATGGTGTCTAATTCATAATGAAATAAATGAAATCATTGTGGTATGTATGTGGAGTCAAGTTGCCTTATAATAATACTGTCGCGCCTGGGCCGTCTCACCGAGCACCCTGTATACTGGGGGAAGGCCTGGGACGACGAAAAGGGATCTTTGGAGGTGTTTCAAGGGTGTCGACCTGGTTTGGTGGTACGACAGTTACCAATAGAAGATGGCTCCACAAAACAATTATGTACAGGGTTTTTATAATCTATTCTAACATAAGTTTTTACAATATAATAACAAAATGTCCATATAATATACAAGTTTCTCTTCAAGAGTCGTCTCTGCTCTGGAGCTTGTTTAACACTAAGAGTCACTGCGTCTCTCTATGTTCTCCTCCTGTAGTTTGTTCAGCTCTAGGAGTCACTACGTCTCTTAATCTTCTGCATGGAGTTTGTTCAGCTTAAGGAGCAACCTCAGCTCCGGGAGTCACTTCGTCTCTGGGGAAACCACGCAAACTCTCTCTCTTGGAAGAGTACCAGCCTCTAGAGCACTCTCTGCTTGGGAGTCGCCACTTCTCGATAAAAACCTCTGCTCTTGAACGATTCACACGCTCGGAGTATCTCAGCTCGGAGTCGTCTCGTCTCAAGAGAAATCAACGCAAACTCTGTGTCTCTTGGAAGGGGTCCAGGCTCTGGAGCAACCTCTGCTCGGGAGTCGCCACTTCTCGATAAAAACCTCTGCTCTTGAACGATTCACACGCTCGGAGTATCTCAGCTCGGAGTCGTCTCGTCTCAAGAGAAATCAACGCAAACTCTGTGTCTCTTGGAGCACCTCAGTTCCGGTAGTGTAACTATGGCTCCAATCACAACTCTGTCTCTTGGAAGGGGTCCAGGCTCTGGAGCAACCTCTGCTCGGGAGTCGCCACTTCTCGATAAAAACCTCTGCTCTTGAACGATTCACACGCTCGGAGTATCTAACCTCGGAGTCGTCTCGTCTCAAGAGAAATCAACGCAAACTCTGTGTCTCTTGGAGCACCTCGGTTCCGGCAGTGTAACTTTGGCTCCGACACAAACTCTGTCTCTTGGAAGGGGTCCAGGCTCTGGAGCAACCTCTGCTCGGGAGTCGCCACTTCTCAGGAGAAACCTCGTCACCCTCTACAGAGAAATAACACCTCTGGAATGTCAATCAGATGGTGAGATTAGACCAGAGCTGCTACTTCTCGATCTCGGAGTACCTTAGTTCCGGTGGAGTAACCTTGGCTCCAATGGAATAAACCTTGCAACACAGAAATACCTTGGTTCCAGTAGTGTAACCTCAGTATCTAACTTCTGGAGGAGTCAAATCACCTCGGAGGGTACATCAAGTTCAGCAACTTGTATCAATTTCGGATCATCAATAACTCGGAGGAGGAGAAGAAGCAACTCACGAATATCGATCATTAAACTGAGATAAGACGGAGTTGTATTCTCAACCCTCGGAGCAGATTCCACTCTAGAATAGATGGAGGAGTAAGCACTCGGAGCAGTGAGTCCTCAGAGTAGGTATGGCTCTCAACTAGATGGAGGAGTAATCACTCGGAGCAGTGAGTCCTCAGAGTAGGTATGGCTCTCAACTAGATGGAGGAGTAATCGCTCGGAGCTGGCAATCCTCGGAGCAGATACAACTCTCGAATATCAATCACAACGGAGATTAGACAGAGCTGTAACTACTCGGACCAAATATAACTCAGAGGAGATATAACACTTAAATAATTGGAGGAGTAATCACTCGGAGCTGGCAATTCTCGGAACCAATGGAGGAGTAATGACTCGGAGCAGTGA